TCCCTAGAGATGTCATTGTCCCTAGTGAGTTCTATTATTTAATTTATACATATTTCATCATTCACCTCAGCATTCAATGTCTATCACTCCTCATTTTTTCTTTGTCTTTTAAAGATAATAATATGGTGTTAAAATTAATTTATTGATCTTGCAGAGTCTCATGGAAAAGTAAAACTCAACTTTGATATCATTCAGAATAAAGTTGTCCGTCCAACTAAAACATATTTTTGGTTGGTTCATACTTTGCCAGTAGGGTTTTGCTTAAAGAATAGATGATATTATCCCGAGAGATGACAAACACATTCATCCCCAGAGATGTTATTGTCCCTTGTGAGTTCTATTGTTTAATTTACACATTTTTTTATCACTAACCTTGGTATTTAATGTTTGTCACTCCTCGTCTTTTACTTTGCCTTTTAAAGATAATAATATGGTGTTTGAATTAATTTATTGATCTTGAAAAGTCTCAAGCAAAAGAAAAATTCAACTATGATAACATTCAGAATAAAGTTGTTTGTCCAACTAAAATATATTTTTGGTTGGTTCATACTTTGACAAGAGAGTTTTGCTTACAGAATAGATGGCATTGTCCCCAGAGATGACACATGCATTCATTCTCAAAGATGTTTTAGTTGGACAGACTGGTTTTCTTGTTTTTCAAAAATCTCAAATCACTTTAAATTCAAATGATAAACTGGCTTTCTTACCCCAGAGTTGATTTTTTTCAAGCTTCTCCAGGCAAGGCCACAGCTATTTTATGGCCAATGCAAGTGGGGTAAGGTGGTGGAAGTCAACAAAAGATTTAGCTAGCAGATGCATGATATAGTGAGAAACATTCAACTATTATTGCACGTAATTACATAAAAATAACGTATTATGTACGTGTGTGATATAGCGTAGAGCGAGCTACTCGATCCAGCAAGATCATATTAAATTTATATTTGTTTTCATAAGCAAATTCATCTTGATTCGTTCAATTTTTATTTTTTTAATTTTTTTTAACTTTTAACCAATCAATTTAGTTTATAAACATATCTGTTAAACCTTGCACATCAATGCATGAGCATGATTATTCCTAGATCAATATAAACTGGCCAGCCAACATCGAGGGTCGTAATCCCACATAATAGCAACTTTGAGCAGAAAAATTACTTCGGTCGTGCAGCTGGATTGGAAGAATCTCCATCCTAGTTCTGACTTCATTGTGTTATAACACCATCCTTGATGAACGAATTGAATCACCATAGCCTTCTTCACTGCAGGTGCAAGGGTGTGTAATGACCTCGACAAAGCATTACATTTAATGGCCTTTGTCTCTATATACAGCTCGAGGTGCTTGATTTGAATGCCTCCTTAATTTAGCCTGCCAATATGCGATGAGGGAATCATTGCGCATTAGTTTCCGATAAAGAAGCTCGATCAATTCATAGTTGGAACCCTGGTGGATCACATACCAAATATGTCATTTACAAGAGCTTTCAATTCAAGCGGGGTACAAAAGTTATGGGAGTTTTTATTAATGGTATTAAGCTTCAAGTGCTTGACATTAAATAAAGTAGGAGAAGAGATATTCTTCAATAGTTGGGTTTGGCAGTCAAACCAAACCCAAAAACCTTAAGCTTAGTAGATATGTCAAACCCAAGTTATTTTGGTTTGGCATCTTTGCCAAACTCTAGTTCCTAGAGTGTGGTTGTACTAAATCCATGTATTCTTGGATCTGGCATATCCCAAGTTACTTTGGTCTGGCACTCTTGCTAGACCCTAGTTTCTGGGGTGTGACCGTGTCAAATCCATGTGTGACCTTATTATTATTTTTTTCTAATAACAATAATATTTTTCTTTTCAAATTTATTAATAATTATATTAATAATAATGATAACAACAACAACAACAACAACAACAATAATAATAATATCAAACTTGTTTGATCCAAGTTCTTATAGTTTTCAATACCTTCAAATTAAATTTATAGTTTTAATATTAATAATAATAATAATAGTTTTCAATGCCTTCAAATCAATAGTAATAATATTTTTTCAAATTTATTATTAATAATAATAATTTTTAATTTTTTCCTTCAAATATAATATATGGTTTTTTTTCAATAGTAATAATATTTTTTTAAAATTTATTAATAATTATATTATTAATAATAATGAAAATAATTATATTTATAATAACATTAAACATCTCTAACCCAAGTTCTTAGAATTTTTAATTTTACTCTTCAAATAAAATCTATGATTTTTCTTTAATAGAAATATTTTTTTTCAAATTTATATAATAATAATAATAGTACTAATGATTATTAAATTGAATCAGCGCTCCGGCCAAATCTAAGTTATGTTGGTCGGTTCTATTATCAAACTCAATTAGTTAGGATCGGACATATTTCTAGATCCAAGATGTTTGGGTGTAGCAATTAATACCAAACCAAAACAAATAAAGAATAATTATATATTTTAATTGTTAAGAAAAAAAATACAATTAATTAATATCAACAATAATTCAACCATGATTTGTTGATATGCACCATACCACGTGAACAGAACATGTTTGCACATTTATTTAAATGATAAATAATCAAATTTAATTATCAAAATATATCACACCCCAATTTTTAATGGCTCAAGCGTGTCCAACTCACTGACGCTCCACCAAATTGTAAATTGAGACCGTTGTATCCGATGTTCGCTTGCTAAGGGAAGTAAACCTGTAAATTGAAGTTACAGTAGAATTCTTTAAACTCACCGAACATGCATGTTAGTTTTACTTTAGGCAGGAGGTTGTAAAGTGTTGTAAAATTCATCTGGAGCTAATTTCGATTAAAACAATTTGTTTTAACTTTTGAATTGTAATTATATTAAAAGTCAAAACTCCCTCGGGATTAAATATGGAGGGCAAACCTCAAAATGTCCCCAGCCTGAAGGGATACTTTCAATTAGTTTTCCAACTTATTTTTTTTATCTCGATTCGGTCTTTAATATATTTATAAATTCATAATTAGATTTTTCGGTAGTTAAATTTAACAAAATGGTTAGGTAATTTATGAATAACATAAAAATTTTAGTGTTAGGGTTTTATTTACCTCTCTTGCTAGTAAACAGGGATGGGTTTACTGCCTCTCTAGCTAGGAAACCCATCTTCTTAAGAAAAAAAAATAAATTGTTGGGCTTCAATTAGCCCAGTTCAATTGAATTGAGTTTAATCCTTGAGACCAATCAGCTCACTCACTAAACTAAGGGTTTGTTTGTCTAAAACATTCCAATGCATTTCTTTTAATTTTCAATTTTTTTTATTTTAATGTTTAGCAAAGCAAGCCTAATAAAAAGTAAGAAATTCTGTAAATAAAACTCAAGGATTTTTTGAAATTATTTGTGGATCCTTGCATTTCTTTTAATAATTTTATTTAATATTAGGTTATAAAGTTGCATTATAAGATACGGAACTAATATTAAAAATACTTGTTTTTTCTTAGAAGTTTCAAAAAAATCTAAAAAAATTTCTTATTTTAAAAATATAAAAATATATTTTATTTTCTTGTATACGGTTAAATCTCAAAGTTTTTTCCTACACACATATTTTCTAAAAAAACAAATTATTTTTTTATTATATTTTAAAAATACAAAATATTTTAAAAAATTTGAACAAAAAAAAAACTCAAGAACCATCTTGAAATTATTTATAGGTCCCTTGCATGTTTTTTCAAAATTTTCACCTAATATCGGGTTGTAGGGTTACACTGTAAGATATAGATCTAATATTAAAAATACTTGATTTTTCTTTGAGATTTCAAAAAAGTTCAAAAAAAAATTTCATTTAAAAAAATTGCAAAAATATTTTTTAATTCCGCACATATGGTCAAATCCTAAAGTTTTTTCTGCATACATGTTTTCTAAAAAAACAAAATCACATTTTTATCCTATTTTACAAAATATAAATATCAAAACTAATTTAAAATTATTCATTAGAGTTTGACCAAAATACCAAAAATTCCACAACAATTTGTTTGTTATTTAGAGAGCTAAGACTTAGCTGTAAACTTTAATATTTAAAAGTATCAAATTACACTATAAAATATATCCTGCAATATTAAAGATACAAAATAAAAAATAAATATGGTGCTAAAATTAGAGCCTTAGAACAATTAGGATTTAATCTGATAAGATAAAGACTTTTTTAGAAAATAAGATCTACCTTAAATCTTAGATGAGAGTGATAAATATAAACTTGTTTTAGATTAACAATTAATTAACAATGCAATTTGTCATGAGGAGAGTGTATTAGAGGTGATATATTTTCCTCTTATACAATTAATTTTTTTACCCAGATTCTTTCAAACTAATAAATTTTCTAATGATCATAATATTAGTTATACAATTAATTTTTTTACCCAGATTCTCTCAAACTAATAAATTTTCTAGTGATCATGGTGACTCTTCAACCCTCTAATCATAACATTATAATTAAACATAAATAATTTTTATTTTTAAGGGACAATTATATTATTTGACACCGTACCCATCACACAATCATCACTAATTTAATTATTATTGTTGTTATTATTGTTTTTATTCCTATCACTATTATTGTTATTATTATTGTTATTATAACTATTATTATTATTTTTTTATTAGCATTATCATTGTTATTGTTGTTGCTATTAATATTACTATCATTATTATTATTGAAAAAACACAAACTATAAAAAATAAAATTAAAAGCTATAATAAAAATTTTGATAAAAAAGTGAATTAAAAAAATTATCTATATAAATTATAAAATAAAGATTAAATTAAAAAAACTTTAACAAAAAAGAAGATTATTATTTTAATATATTTATTTAAAAAAAAACAGCTTACCACAATCTAAAACACTAATTTAAAATGCCAAAAAGATCTGAACCGTTGAAGAAATAAGCAGAAAGCACGGAGACGTTATTCAAGAAGCCAGAACATGCCACGAGAAGTACTGATATCAAAGCAAACTCATCCGTGGAAGTCTCCTCATTAAAGTAAACTCCACATCTCTGCTTTTCCACTCTCCTTTTTCACTCTCTTTCCCACAAACCCCTTTTTCTTTCACACTTTCTTACTCTGTTACAACCCCTTCTCTTTTGTTGGTATGGCAGATTGGGGGCCGGTGATAATAGCAGTGGTGCTGTTTGTGCTCTTAGTACCAGGGCTGTTATTTCAGATACCTGGAAGGAACAGGGTGGTTGAGTTTGGCAATATGCAGACGAGTGGTGCTTCTATTGTTGTCCATGCTATTATTTATTTTGGCCTCATCACTATCTTCCTTATTGCCATTGGTGTTCACATCTATGCTGGCTAGTTAATTGTCATTGATTCCCTTTTCAATCTTGTAATCTCTGTTTCATGTTTCTCCCCCCTTTTGTTTCTCCTAAGTTGATCGAACTTTTGTTGTTGTTGTAATTAATTTCTGTTTCCTTTATGTTGAATTTGAATCATGGAGGCGTCAAGCTTTTAGGGTTTTTCAATTGGTAGTTGATTTTCGTGGGATTTATGTAATGATCAAGTCATGATGTTCGTGGATCTGATACTAATTATCCATAGAAACGCACTGTGCTTGTTGTGACTTGCTTGGCATGGTTTTTGTGTTGATTTCTATCAGTTGTTTGTCCTTGGGATGAAAAGAAACATGGCGATCACTCTTTTGGATATTACGATTCAAAATTAGTTGTATTTAAGTACTTAACTTTGATTAATTATGTTCTCAAACCATTATTTATGCAATTAAATCTCTCTAAATATTCACCCACAGTTTACTGAATATTTAGGGCTTTTTGTGTGTGTTTTTAAAAATAATTTTTTAAAAAAATATATATATTATTTTAGTTATTTTTTGAAAATCAATCTTTATCCCAAACTAGCTTTTAGTGTAGCCTGTCTAGGATTCACTACTTTTCGCAGGCCACGGGAATCGTAGAAAAATAACTTGTCTAGGATTCACTGCCTTTTTCAGGGCACGGGAATCTTAGAAAAAATAACTTATTTAGGTCAGGTGTGTTTTTGAGTTTCGAAATTATTTTTAAAAAAAAATTGAATTTTTTTATTTTTTTAAATTAATATTTTTTATGTTTTTAAATTGAGATGCAGAAATTAAAAATATTTTTTTTAAAATAACTAAAATATTATTTTAATATAGTTTTAAATAAAAATAATTTAAAAAAATAATTTAAATAATATTTTTTTTAAAATAATCTAAATAACATTTTCAAACAGTCTATTTAATATTTTTTATGTTTTTAAATTGATATGCAGAAATTAAAAATATTTTTTAAAAAATAAATAAAATATTATTTTAATATAGTTTTAAATAAAAATATTTTAAAAAATAATTTAAATAACATTTTTTTTAAAGATAATCTAAATAACATTTTCAAATACTCTATGAAAATGATGCTTGGTTTAGGATATGTTTTTTTTTAATATTTTTTGCTATAAAAAACATTATTTACTATCAATAAGATAAAAATGTTGCGATAATTATAATAAAAAGAAGTGATGGTGGTAGTAATTCTAATTATAACTTTAATTATAACTATAAATATAGTGGTAAAATTTGTGTGGAAATAATATTGATGGGGTGGTGTTTATTATAAGATGGATTTTGTTAGTGTAGTTTCGAGGGTGACGATAATGATGAAATGATAATTATTTTAATAAGGAAGCAATGGTGAGTTAACTATGGCTGTTAATGCTATAGGTTTTTATGAGATAGTGATTAAGCCCGTTTGTTTGCTATGAGTTAATATTTTTAAAAGAATAAATTTCATGGTGAGTTAACTATGGCTGTTAATCCTATAGGTTTTTATGAGATAGTGATTAAGCCCGTTTGTTTGCTATGAATTAATATTTTTTAAAAAATAAATTTTAGAAAAATAAATTAATTTATGATATTTTGATAATATAATAAAAAATAAATTAAAAAATATTTTTCAATATTTGGTCATGTGAAGAAAAATGAGTTAGAAAATAACTTATTAATATTTTATTTTTCTCAAATTTATTAAAATAATAAAGAACAAATCTTACAAATTAAAAAAGTTTAATAAAATTGAAAAAAATCTACAGATTATCTCAAAGAAAATAAATAATAATTAAAATAATAAAGAACAAATCTTACAAATTGAAAAATATTTAATGAAATTGAAAAAAATCCATAGATTATCTCAAATAAAATAAATAATAATCAAAATAATAGAAATCAAATTTAAAAAATAAAAAAAATAAAAGATGAAGAGATTAATATAATAATAACTAATATTTCATAAACTATTTCAAATAAAATAAGTAACAGTAAAAAAAATAAGGATCAAATTTAATAGATAAAATTTTTTAATAAAAAATGATAAGAAAAAAGTAAATACTAATTATAAAAATAAGGATCAAAATTAATATAAAAAATTAAATTTAAAAAATTAAATTAAATATTAAATATTCAAAATAAAATATATATATAGCAATCAAAAGTTTGATGATCAAATTTGATATAATCAGCAAATAATATGATATTTCTAAATTTTTCACAACTTTCAGAAAATATTTTACACCTAAATTTTTCTTTAACTGGAAAGTATTTTCCGTTAACTAATTTTTCTAATAATAAAAAAATATAGAAAAATTTAAAAAATTATTTATGAAAAATTATTTTCTAAAAAACAAACACAACCTAAAATAATAGCGATAAGTGATTACCATGATAGTGGTAATAATAATAAAAAGACTATGAATAGATTGATGGTGTAGAAAAAAAAGAGTAATTCTTTCTCTCCTATGATGTTAAAATATTTTCCTTCAAATCATAATATTTTTTTTAATTTATTTGTTTTCACCCTAACACCCTACAAATTGAATAAAAAAAAAATATTTTTTAATTACAGCTTTAAAGATTGAATTTTAAGGACTGATATCTTACATATATTGAATTTAAAATAATATTTAGTATTGTAGTATTAGTTATTTTTTAAAATATTTATTATTTTAAAAAATATAAAAAATATTTTTTAAATTTTTAATTTTTTTATATCTAATAAAAAATAAAAAAAATTACGAAACATAATTTCTACGGTAAAAATAATCTTCACCTCTAGATCTTGTTGGGTCCATAAAAAAACCTGTCGTATATTGTGTGCATGGATAGATGTAGGATCTCGGCTTGGGGGTGTGAGGACAGAGCATAGTGAACATTTTGCCGATTAGGTGTGTGTTTGGCATTATATTTAGAAAGTATTTAAAAAAAACAAAAAAAAAATATTTTTTATTTTCAAATAATATTTTTAAATTATTTTAATACACTGCTATTAAAAATAAAAAATATATTATTTTAATATATTTTAGAATACAAAATATTTTAAAAAATAACTATAAACACGTTTCAAAAAAACACATCGAGTAATAAACGGTGAAGAGTAACGGTGACGTAATGATG